TTTTGCCATCTACTGTCCCCAGCATTAGGCTCTTCTCCAGGGAGTCCTTCCTTCTCATTAGGTGGCCAAAGTATTTGAGTTTCATCTTCAGTATCTGGCCTTCCAAAGAGCAGTCAGGGTTGATCTCCTCTAGGACTGACCGGTTTGATCGCCTTGCGGTCCAAGGGACTCGCAGGAGTCTCCTCCAGCACCACAATTCAAAGGCCTCAGTCCTTCGGCGCTCCGCCTTCCTTATGGTCCAACTTTCACAGCCATACATTGCAATTCCTGGACACAGTTAGGGCTAATCATAGCTTGTACAGGTTCAGACTCAAGGAGAGACCACAGGGTCAGAAGTCAACGTGTCTGCTCTCCTTACAACTACACTGGAGGAGGAGAGGAATGTTCTCATGAAGTTTCTCCAGCTGATGCCAAACCAGTTTCAGGGTATGCTTGAATGCAGATGTAGGGATTGTGGGCACTGACGTAAGCCACAGCTGCAAACGCACAGCATTCCATCTGTTCTTAAATTCATCCACACAGGCTGGGGCCTCTTGTGGGTCCCCAGCCTGGTTCTGCTTGCCAGGAACCTCTGCGCCATCAGCTGCAGGAGTTCCGAGGGCTTCTGGTGGCTCACGATCTTTCGGTGCGCATTGTCATTTCTGTAAGTACATGTGCGAGGGAGCATAAACGTGGCCACTAGCACTTCTATGATTCCGAGGACCTCGGCTGAAATCCCCTCAGCTGCTTTCGGCTACGGAGCAAGAAATGCATTGGTTGATAGTGAGTTACAAGCCTCTTGCTAATCACAGGATTGGTGATCAGCAGGAACTCGTGGGAATAATCTCCGCAGCTTGCCTCCTTGCAATAGCCGCAGGGTTGTGCATCCCAGTTGCTTAACTCGCCTGTGTTGACCTTGGTCCCTCCTTGCTTTCTGAGCATGCAAGTTTTCTCACTCACCCGTGTGCTTTCAGTCTTTGATAGAAATAATTCAGTTCTGGGCGCTACATTACAGGAAGGATGTAGCCAGATTGTATCCATCCCCTCTTCCTTCAGTTTGGGAGGCTTCGACTTGTATGCCGTACTCGATTTGCTCTGTGCAGGGCTGCTTAAGAAGGCCTTTATGCAGGGATCCAGAGGCACTAGGTTTAAACTAAGGAGGAGCTCAGTTTGGGGCAGTTCCTCTGGCCCCGCACAGCAAAATTCCTGGCCAGAGAACTCCATACGGCTGGACTTTCCCAAGCTGCCCTCACCTCTTCATCGAGACTGACTTGAGTTTGGACAAATGCCATGGGGGAAGCTTGCAGGGGGAACAGAGCACTACTGGCAGCCAGGATAATGCATGGTGTGGGGAGAGATTTCCTTCCCTCTCCCACAGCACCCGTACTTGGGGCCACCCCAGGAAGCTGATGGGGCAGGTTTAGGACAGAGAAAAGGAAGCCCTCTTCACACAGCCTGGAGCGAAACTGTGGGGTTCGCTGCCATGGGAAGGGGTGATAGCTGCCAATCTGGACGACTCTGGAGGGGACTGGAGAGCTTCTAGAGGGAGGAGGATACCAGTGGCTGCTCGCCTTGCTGGCCGTGGGCTGCCAGCTTCTCCAGAGGGGACTTTCCTGCATGCCGTGGTTGCGGAGGAGCTTGGCCGAGAGGTGGTCTTGCACCCATCCTGCCGGAGGGGCCCTGTGGGCAGCTGCG